GGAAGTGAGTCCAAATATTTATTCATTTATTTAAAAGAATTGTATAGCTGCCTATCTTAAACAACTCTGAGCGACCTGCACAAACAATAAAAACATTTTTTTTATTTTGATCAATAGCCAGTCAAGCATGCAATGATTCTACCAAGCTTGGAAGTACATAAAGAATTCTCATTAAATTAGGAATAAAATAAACACAGGGTTGTGGTGATGGTGAAAATAGGAGGAGGAAGGTGTGTTGGGTATGTTCACCACCTTGAGCTGCCTCTTGGAGGGCCAGGTGGATTTAATTTGGAAACAGAAGCCCCGGTGGCATGGACGGATCAAAGAAGGCAAATTATTGACTGCAAACTCCTCCTCTTTTAATGGCTATTAGGAGTAGAAGGGGACTGAGCTTGAATCACACTGCTACATCTACCGTTTGATTTATTTATTTCTCCACTTATATGACTATCCATCTCAAAATCATGGCTTAGGGCAGGGGTAGGCAACCTATGCTCTATGCTGGCTCAGGAGTTCTGGGAGTTGAAGTCCACGAGTCATAAAAGAGCCAAGGTTGCCTACCCCTGGCTTAGGGTTACTAGCAATATTTTAAAATAGCATGAACCATTAAAAAAAAGGAAACAACACACATATAAACTCAGCTAGGGTAAAAAACGATCTCGCTGACAAATCAACATAAGCATTTTATGGACTCAGCCACATCTTCTGAGACCCAGACCGGTGACATTTTGTCTTTTCGGACACCCCTCCCCCAAAACAAAGGGACAGCAGAAGGAACATTTCTAGACTAAGATAAGCAATAACATGGGGTTGGATTATTTGAGAGACCGCCTCTCTCCAGGGACATCTACCCATCCCATCAGGTCCAGCAGAAGAGACTTGGCGCGAGTACAATTAGAGAGTGTCATCTGAAGGGACCCAGAAGGACGGTCTTCTCTCCTGACCCACCCACCTCTAGAACATATTTCTATAGAACATCATTCCCTCTGAGGTCAGACTCACCCTGATCCTGCTGGCTTTCCAGAAGAACATGAAGACCTGCCTTTGATGGCTCCCTTGAGTGCTGGCTCAGACGATGAGGAAGAGGTGGTTCTGGGGACATCTGAGAGGGACTATGGGGAGCACTAGAGTGATATGGAAGAAGATAGTCCATGGTAGTCAGATAGTTGAGGCAAAGCAGTCCGGCAAACGTTGGTGTAATCAGGAAAGAGCAGTCAAACAGCCAGCTATGCAGTCTGGAGAAAGGGAGCACCTGCAGCCGGTCAGCACAGACAACCAACCAGTTGCAAGGCCTGGAGGAGAGACATAACTGCAGCCGGTCAGCACAGATGACGAGGAGTTGCTACCACACACGCGCGCGCGCACACACACACACCACTCGATCCAAGGTCGCGCAGAGCTGAGGGTGGCGCAATGAAGGTTGGCGAAGCTACTTGTGAGGAGGCAGTCTCCCCTCCTAATGAAGCACACCGGTTGGCCCCTATTTACCTCGATGTTTGAATCTGGCGGTTGTCAGAGACAGCTGTCCATAATCCAACTAATTTGGGAATACTCTTGACTCGTTGCCTTGAACTTGTGGAGATTGTGTTGCTTTTGTCATAACTTGGAACCGCTGGAGTTAGGCTGCCTCGACCCTGGCAAGGATAGCCAGGTGGCATTGGGAAGTGGCTATGGGCCAGCAAGAGTAACCATCAGGTGCTTGCAAGTGCAAACAGTCAGAGAATGTTATGGATATGAGATACCTGTGACCTCATATTATGTAGTGGGGATCCTTGACAGAAAAGGTTGTGGGGGGAACTTACTGGAATGACTTGCAACATCCCTGCTGGCTTTCCCATTGACTTTATTTGTGGGAAGCTGGCAAGGAAGGTTGCAAATGGTGATCATGTGACTGTAGTTCACTGCAATATCGTAATCGTGAGCCAGGCACCTGGAATGTAATCATTGACCAGGGAGGTCCTGCAATGCCACCACAAGTCCTCCTTATTTGCTGCCTTCGTAATTTTGAGCAATAGTTGAACTGTTCAAAACTGTATTGATAGTCCCCATTTAATCACCATTGGGACCAGCAACTCCATTCATGACATGGTCATTAAGCGAGATCGGTGACTGGTATGTGAGTCACAATCTGAATTCTGCTAGGGCGACCGAGTCCTTTGCCCACAGTTGTTAAAGCAAGACATCACATGACTTTGACTTGCGATTTTACAGCCAGTTCATCCACTGATCCTGCTTGTTAGAAGCTTGCTGTGAAGTGTGTAAATGGTGATCACATGTGGGATGCCACAAGTCATAAACACCCACCGGTTTTGCGTACTATTTAAATCTCCACCATGTGACTTCAAGGACACTGATCCTATTGTATGAGGACCTGTAGTAAAGTTACTTTTTCAGCACCATCATAACTTTGAACAATGCTACGTAAGGCAGTTAAGCGAGGACTACTCGTACTGTTCTTGAACAAATGTGCTCTCCTGGTGACTGTGTTGTATAGTTTTTAAAAATAGTTTAAATTGTCTTTAACCTTGGGATTGTTGGTATGGTTATTTTCTTGTTTGTTTTGGTAGTGTTGATGCTTCTTTGTGATTGTAAGACTCTATAACCAGAGTCATGAAGGTGAGATGAGTGATTATAGGATTGGAATACCAACGTAACTTGCAACAACTGAAGCCAGATTTCTAAGTTTTTTTCACTATTTGCACCCCCATCTGACCAATTGTCTTGCTCAAGTTTTCAAAGTACGATGAAATGCTTATTAGGCATTTGACTTTTCTCAATGCTAAGCTTGTGTGATATTACCTGAAATAAGAACAGGGGCCAATACGGCATTCCTACCCTTTCCAGTTCCTAAGAAAATAAAGGGTATTAGGCAAGCGAGTAAAAAGAAGTGTTGTTTTGCAACTGCCTGAAGAAAATAATCCCTGCAACCTTTCACAACTTATCTACTTAAGACTAATCCATTAATGGTTGTATTTTTCCTGCTCCCAGTTTGACCCCCCCCCCCCCAAAAAAAACAAGCCCTATCCTCAGCAGAAGAGAAGGAACTAGGAGCGAGGGCAGCCATGCGTGAAACCATCTGTTGTAAATTCTGTACTATGCCTTCTCAGGGAGATCAGCAAATGACTTTTGGCCTTTCAAGTTCAAGGAGAGGCCCATCAGCAGAAGTACCCTCTGATTGATGAAGGGGATATGAAAGAGGTCTGGTTGTGAGAGGCCATTAATAACCTTAAGAGAACCAGTTCACCATCAAAGTCAGATTGCAAGGCATTTTACAAGAGTATAACTGCTTCAACCTACTTCCAGTCTAGCTCTGCTCTTATTTCCATATAAAATCTGCCTATTGCTCAGTTAGCTATGTGTAACAGGTTTCTAAATTCACTTTCTAATCATTTACCCAATATTTATGTAACCAAGTGAAACCAGAAAACGCGTCTCCGTCACTTTCCCAGATCCTTCAGAAACATGAACTATTCAGAATAAAATGGCTGTTTGCTATCACAGGGATATGACATTTCAGCTTGTATTTTTGCACTCCTTTCAGCGCAAAAATCAAGGGAATCGATCAGATTTTGACAAATCTGTCTCATAATGGGGTCTATAACTTCTTTTTAAAACCTGTAATCTGCTAAAATGGCTCTGTGATTAAATTATATATTATATTGCCATGCAGTCTACAGCATATGATGATCTGTTTTGTACAAGCATATAGAGTACAGCAACCTTTGTTTTATAACCCTGGAGAATCAATACATATTTAATTTAGAAATGTTGGCTTATTAAAGCCACAAACATACCCCAGACAAAACTCTAGAGCAGGGGTGTCAAACTGCCAGTCCATGGGCTGGATGCGTCATGAGGAAACCGCGCCCACCCCATTGCCGGCAATGGGGGAAAAGTTCCGATATATTGCGCAACATCATGTGACATCGTTGAGTTTGACATGTCTGCTCTAGAGCAGTGGTTTTCAACCTTTTTAATGCCACGACCCCCAACCGGTCGTAAGTCGAGGACTACTCAACTGGTGCAGCACCGTTTGCAGAATGGGACTTTTGGCGGGCTCAGCAGGGCAGACAGCCTGGACAATTCCTATTGGCTTTTGAAAGCCAATAGAATTAGACTCTATTCAAGAGAGTCTATTCTATTGGCTTTCAAAAGCCAATACAATAAAAGGGAGTAGCACAGCTAAGGAAAAGGGGGGAAAAAATGGCAGACTGCATTGTTTGGCGACCCCCGTGAAATGGTCGTTCGACCCCAAATGGGGTCCCGACCCACAGGTTGAGAACCACTGCTCTGGAGTATCTTACCCCAAAAGATGGGTTATGGCTTTCAAAAGGACATGCATTCATGCAGTGATAGGCTGAAGCATTTCTCAAATGGACATTCTCCTTCTGAAATAAAGACATTTTGATGTAACTATTTTATATTTTTACATATAAGTACAAAATTTGAATCTCCCTGGGCAGATCCTCAAGAGTCTCCATTATAAGAGCTTAAATATGTGCACTAATTGAAGGCAGATGGGTGAAAAGTGACCATTCTAGTTTTCTGGAATGGTGTAAGGCAGCTTAACTAGAGCACCAAATCTTGTCTTACCTATTCCATCTCCTTAGAAGGCATAACAGGCACATGTTCCAACTCTACAGGCTATAATAATTGATCATTATACGAATAGATGCTATCTTCCTATGCAGATTGCTTCCTGTCAAGAGTGTAAATAGAACAGTCTGAACTTTGTGGAGGAAAAGGATATGAGTAGAGTGAATAAGTAATAAAACACACCCAATGTGTTTTCAGGTTCTGGACTTGGACCTATTTGATCTAAATTCAAATCCATCCTCAGTTACTGAAAATCATAGTGTGATTGGAAGCCAATCATCTCCGTTTACCTCACTAAGTAGAGTTTTTGAGGGGTGGGGATGAAAAGTAGGAATGTTCATGTTAAGTCACTTTAAACTCCTTGATAAATAGTGGAATATGCATGCAAAAAAGAAAACCACAAGTAGCAAACAGGTTTATTGTGCCAGCATTATCTATTAGGTATGCCAGCACCTATGATCATTTTATTTATACAAGTAACAAAGCAATTTGCTCCAAAAATATAAACACCTGAATATACTGTGAACATTGGTCTTACATACAGAGTTTGCACCAAATTAGGTAAGGTATGATTTAGTAATTTTGATTTTGTACTGTGCTGTACTTTCCTTTCTGTATTGTATTGCAGAGAATTGTAAAATATTGTATTGTATATTTGTATACACAATAACATCAAGATAAAAAAACCCTTAAGAACATATTGTTGTCCAAGCAATATTCCCAATCTGCTGTTTTACGTAATTAATAAGATGCAAACATTCAACTCTTGAACACAGTTTGAGAAATGGAGGAGATGCTCTGACAACATATAGAGTACATAAAAAGCATTTACATTCTTAACCATTTAAGCCAAACATCGGTCTCATTTATTCTAAAGCATATAGACTCTCAACAAAAATTAACTGAAACAAGCTTAATCTTTATTCTTATCACTAAGTGGAGTATTTGAGTTATAAAATGCTAAAATAATGATTTTCCAGCTCCTTCTTTTGCTAATCGATCAGCTGCTTCATTTCCAGGAAAGCCAGCATGACCGGGAACATGCATCTGTTGATAATAAGAGTCCAAATTAATTACTCCATACATATAACAATGTGTGCTCTACAACTATCTGCAATATTCACTTATCTTCCTCTATGCCTTATGGTGCAGCATGCATATCAGAGGATCCAAAGGAATATACTGTATAGCTTGGTACAGTACATGAACCCAGCTGCAGATTTCAAATAAATCTCTTTCGTTTAGGTCAGTGGTTCTCAACCTGTGGGTCGGGATCCCATTTGGAGTCGAACGACCATTTCACAGGGGTCGCCAAACAACGCAGTCTGCCATTTCCCCCCCCCCCTTTTCCTTAGCTGTGCTACTCCCTTTTATTCTATTGGCTTTTGAAAGCCAATAGAATAGACTCTCTTGAATAGAGTCTAATTCTATTGGCTTTCAAAAGCCAATAGGAATTGTCCAGGCTGTCTCTGCCTGCCGAGCCCGCCAAAAACCCCAGTCTGTAAACAGTGCTGTACCAGTTGAGTAGTCCTCGACTTACGACCGGTTGGGGGAGTCACGGCATTAAAAAGGTTGAGAACCACTGCTTTAGGTTGACATAACCCATTTTACACGTTGCTATTCATCAGAGCTACGTTAATCAACAATCTGTGAATTTCTTTAAAACTTCAGTCAGTTTTTAAAAGAACATCACTTACCCATTGGATGTCCATGCCTTCTGAAAGCTTAGCAAGCCTTTCAAAATCTTCTCTGTTTGTTACTTCTTTTCCTGCACTGGTTTTCCAACCGTTAATCTTCCAGTTTGGGATCCAGCTTGTCACACCTATCAAAAAAGTGATTGCTACCGTAAGACTAATTTGGATGACTGCTTCAGAACCTCTGGGGCTATCTGCTGAAATTCTCCTCTGCCTCTCCATCTGAAACAATCCCATGTGACTGAGCTGATCCAAGAGACGAACCATTTGATAAACCAAGTTGCTCGGTAGATAGTCCCTAATATTGGCTCAAGCTAGTTTGTAACTGCAATCCAGACAAATCATATACATTCTACTTCATTTGTGAACTTCTATCATTTAGTTTGGGGTCAACTGCGAGTCAGAACAGCACTGCTAATATCAAATCTGACATCTGGATATCTCACTGCAGTTATTCAATCCTGATTCCAAATAAAAGTTTATTCAGACAATTTCTTTATCAACTCATCACTACCCTCTGCTTCCAAAAGCTGAAGCAATTTATTGATTTACTTAGTTACCATTAGCTACATTTTCATCACTTTTCTAAGGTTCCAGTGATGATCTGATCTTTACCTTGAGGAATTCAGTATATCTCTGAATGTCAGACCATAGAGTAGGACTGGATGAAGGCAAATTGAAACGTGATGAATCCTGACAGATGATAATGCCTGGCAAATCTCATGCCAGGGTGGTGGTGATGGTGGGAAGTGGGGCAGGAGGCAGAGAGAGAAAAGAGAAACAATAGCAGCAGCCCCCAATCATCCCAATTCTACTGTCAACAACATATATCTTGAGAAAAGACTATTTGCTGCTTTTAACTAAATGGAAAAACAAAATACACATGCATAAACCATATTTAAAGATATTATACGATAACCCAAACCTATCTTTGGGAAATGGCAAAAGAATATACAGGTAGTCCTCGACTTGCAACAGTTCATTTAGTGATCATTCAAAATTACAACAGCACAGAAAAATGTGACTTAAGACAGTTCCTCACAGTTACGACCATGATCACGTGATCAAAATTCAGATGCTTGGCATCTCGTTGATACGTAGGATCGTATGCTGTGTCCCAAGGTCACATGATCCCCTTTTGCGACCTTCTGAGAAGCAGTCAGCGGGGGATCCAGATTCACTTAACAACTGTGGCAAGAAAGATTATAAAATGGGGCAAAACTCACAACAAACGTCTCACTTAACAATAGAAAGCTTGGGCTCAATTGTGGTCACAGGTCGAGAATTATCTGTATACAGTTGAAGATAAAAGTAAAAAAGATAAAAACTTCCTCAGGTCCAGCTTAACATCTGGTGGCTAGATGGAGAAGTCCATCAGAAGCTGTTAGGATAGAAATATAATTTTTACCTTTATCCATGCAATAAACTTAAACTTAAGTGTAACTCCAGTCTGGAAACTATAAATCAATCAATCTCTCTGTTCTGAACTCAAGGACTAATATGAGCATTAATACTGCCAATTAAATTCTTGAATAATCTGAACTACTGCAAAAGGAATTGGACTGTCTAAAGTTGCAAAATGGCAGTGTACTCCATCAAAACCTCTTGATTTTACAATTTGGACTAAGTGCATCAGCAGCCACTGATTCCTAAATTACAAACTGCATTGAGTTTGGTTTTGATTAATGGTGTTAACAATAATATTTTTTTTTACAATATTAAGATAATTCAACAAAGGATTTTTTTTTTGTAATTATTGGACACCCCAAAGAATGGTTTAAAACAATTGTCTGTCAAATCCACTGTGCTAAAAAGACAAAGGAGATGCTTGCTCATATGATATAGGCTTGTTCCATTTTGGTGTAATATTCAGAAATCTATTAATACAGTTTTGGATACAGCAATATCCTTTAAAAGCATGGATGTTTCTTATTTATATATATTAAAATTTAGTATTTAACATTACATGAATAAAGAAATAATGGAGACTAGCCAAAAACAATTAATTATTCTTTTACAGTTCTTTTACAATATTGATATCTGTTTTCTGTTGATGAACTAGCTCTCTGATCACACAATGAAAAGACTGATTAATACTACTTTGCACAGTCAAGATTTAATGCTATATTTACATGCAGAGCGGTGCACTTGCTTACCGCAATATTCAATGACCTGGGAATACTTGCATAACTATACATTCTTTTTCATCATATTTTACTAATATCTGCAATCTCACTTTGCTGGAGTTTTTTGTACAGGAAGAAGAGCTGTGTGTTTAAATACATGCAAAGGAGGCCCTAGGTCTGCTTGAGAAAGCAATGCAGATCATTAGAATCTGCTTCTCAAAAGATTGCGGGTTTTGTACATAGGCCACCCTCTTTGTCGAAATATAAAAAGACTGTACAGCAAATGCTCTCTAAGTATGACAACACCATACAGAAAATTTCATCAAGGGCAATCAACCATAGCATATTTCATTTCAGACCCCATCTCCTTGCAGGAATATTATATATTCTTTCTTTTTGGATTTATGTTGATGTGCTTTAAAAAAAAAGATAAAAAAACAAGGAGAAAAATAATTTCAAACATTTTTAATTGCAGAAAAAAATAAGTTTAATGGATGTTGATCATGTTTGGCAGGACAAGAGAATGCATGCCTTCTGTAATCTGTTATCATTTTAGGAGGCGATTTTACCTTACATTCATTTCTCAGCAACTAAAAAGCTTACCGTTAATGGTGAATTTGCTGTCAGTATAAATTGCCAGTTTTCTGATATTTTGACTCTTTGCTTGTTCTATTGCCTTGCAAGCTGCCTGAAGAAAACATTTAGAGAACATACTTCAGGAGTGAAGAAGCTGAATAAATATTGATTTTAGTTTTAGGACTGTAACCACAAACTGTAACCCATACCTGATACACGCAATCCTTAGAATCGACTAAGTTTCCTTCTCAGGAGCTTGGTAAAAGATAAACAGGGAACAAGTAATACCTATCAAATGGTTTCTACATAAAGTATCAGTCAAATAATATCTGTTGGTGAAGGAGCCATTGCACCTTGCCTGAAGGGAAGCCTTGATCATGTTAACAAGACTTCAAAGTGTTAGACAATCTTTGCTTATTTCTATATTATTTTTAATGCAGTGAATAAGTATAGTTAGTTTCCAGAAATGTTCCCGAAGCCAAAATATCACAGTAGTTCAATTTGCTACTATGTGATTTCCCACATACCCTCCATTACATGGCCTTTTCATGTTTCTAAACTGTTGCTAATCCTTCTGCTTCACACCATGCTAATTCTGAATATGATATGATATGAGCTTTCTAACTCTGAATTCTGACAAAGAGTTTGGAGACAAATCCTGTCTCAAATCTTTCTATGAACTTTGGTTCCCTGATTGCCTTTTAAGGAACTTCAGAGACAGGGCAGTTTGAAGGGCAAGAAAAAATAAGGGGAAAGTTACCGAGTGGGAAGAACTCAAATAAAAATTGCTGCGATTCAATTGCAGTACAGGACACTTTATCCCAAGTTCCCTCTGAAGGATGTAAACCATACTGATACCAGAGAAAGTTTGTACCTCAGGGTTGAACTGCAGATGTAAGCCACGTTTGACTATTTTGACATTTACTTCATATAAATATTTCATCGGCTCTTACATCTTAAGTGTGACTAGACAGGAATTTTCTTGCTGGAGACGGATGAAATGAATGTTTGGGTGTGACTATTAGAATTCAAATTCAGAAACTGTAGTTTTATTTCAACAACAAACACATCAGTAGACGAGATCACACTCAAAACATTAATAACGATCCACTCCTGTGGTAAAACTCCCACCCTAGGGCCTCCCTGAATAAAATCATTTTTTTTTTTTGAACACCTGTGGGAAAATGAAGATAACATTTTAGATCTGAAGTGAAAAGGGGCCGTGGAGCATTTGTTTGCAACACTTTTAAACAACCTGCATCTTGTTTTAGGAATTGTGCAGCAGCTGTGAAAGGCCATGTGATCGCAGGAAAAGATTGCACTGATTTAAGATGTTGCAAACAAGTGGTCTATTTGTATATCCACATCCTTTTTTCCCCTCCGACTTTAAAGCACTGCACAGTCATGAGGCAGAATCATTGAAACCTCTCTAGCCTCAAAATGTCTGAGAGAAGCCAGCAAGAGTTAAGTGGCAGGACAGAAGGATTTCCAGGACCCTTAAAAGCCTGGAATGTGTTCTTTCAAACAGCCCAATTCCATGTTGCTTGATTTTGATAGGAGACAACCAACCCTCTGAATTGTGCCTATTAAGAAACCTTGTGCTATTTGGCACTGAGCCTCAGACAATAGCCTTGGCATGATAGTCTCAACCAGATGAAATGGCTGGTTACCTTTCAACAGTAGCTGCCCACAGAAAATATTTCATTAATCCAATTAAAGTACTTGTTCACATGGCCAGCTCTAACATCTCCAAAGACAACTTCACTGGGCACATTAGTGTATAACCACAACCAAGCTAACACCACACTGAACTTTTAGAATAAAAATCAGTAGCTGTAAAACACAGCATGGATTGGGAATATACCTGGGCAGCAACATCAGGTGCAGATACTGAGGAGTTCACAGGAAAGGCCTGTGAACAGGCTGATGCTAGTTTCTCACAGTTTTAATTGAGTCTGTTTGATATCCATGATTCATGTTGTGTTGGGTATAAAAGCTTTCCAAAGCTATCCCGTGACATGCACACGCCATGGCAGAACACTGCAGACGTATTTACTGGTGTCTATCCCGGGGAGCCTTGCCTGCTTACTCCTCTATATATTTGCTTTTCATAAACTTTACCACGATCACACTAGTTTGTGGGGGAATTTGCACGCGCAGCAAACTGCCATGCATTGCCCCCCACAAACCTCATAACCTTTTGATACCCTTTGTCCCAAGGAAGCAGCCAAAAGATCACCCCCTTTTGACTAAATATCTTACCTACCTAAATAAATAATATGCTTTAAGTTCCCCCTTATCTCTTCCTGTCTTTATCTCTTCTTGTCTTTATCAGTTCTTTCTCCTTTTCTAATTTACCTGTATTTGTTTTTACCTGCTCTCAGCAGGTAATATATTACTAGAAAATAATTGCTTATATGAAGGAATTTTTCAATTACTTTATGTCAACAGCTAAAGATTAAATTTCTAAATGTAAAATGTCAGCAGTTAATGGTAAAGCCTATGTATATAAAAAGTATATAAGAAACAATAAACTCAAGAGTTTGTCAAGCTGTGTGAAGCTGTGTTCTGCAGCTTCAACCCTCTGCTCAAGACATGCCTGAGTCTTTTTCTTAGCATCGTTACAAAAGTTTTCAGCTCTTCTTTTTTGGAAACCTCTCATAGGTATTAAATAAAGAAATGAAAGTTTAAGAAATATACTGAGACTACGAGCTGGAGCTTTTAGCATAATCGGTAAAAGACTGGATACATATCTCCTGTTCTGCCTTCAGACATGACTGCAACGTTTGAAGAACTGCAAGTCAGTGGAACATTTAATACTGGGTATCTTCCATAAAAACTGCATCATACTGCAAAACCCTACAAATAATTTTATCTGGCAATAGTAGATATAAGTTTGAGAGCAAAATTATCACTCTGAATGAGAATCCTTCCCCAAACTTGGATTTCAGCCAAATAACCCACAATTAATGCTCCTGAAAGTTAAACAAAAATCTAAACCTAAGAGGAGCACATCCACTTTGAGATTTAGTTCTTGGCAAAAATTGCCCCCCAACGAGAGTAAATGGACCAAGATTATCTGGCTCATTCAGATCCCTTGGAGCTGACTATACCCTTCTGATTAGCATAAAAGTGAAATACTGAGGCTTGGCAGGAAATGCTCCAGTAATAACTAGACAGTCCTCACTTAATGAATCTAAATGGGATCAGAACTTGTACTGCTGAACAATGTAGTCATTAAAGTGAGGATCCGAGGTGACCATAATGATTTATGATGGCATTTTCACAGCAGGATTCTTTGGGTGGCTAAGCAGGAACTTTTCTATTATCATGTCTTGTGACTTCCCGCCAGCTTCCCCATTGACTTTGTTAAGAGGCCAACAGGGAAGGTCTCAAATGGTGATCATATGACCACAGGACACCCCAATGGTCAGAAATGTAGCCTAATTGCCAAGTGCCCAAATTCTGATCACGACCAGAGACAATGTGACAATGGCAACCTGCAAGGAAAGGTCACAAGTACACTCATTCAGTACCATCATTAATTTTGAACAGTTACTGAATGAGTGGTCATTAAATAAAGACTACATGTACAGTAGACATTAATAGTGAGGATTTCCATTTTACAGCAGGGCAGATCAATCCATTGTAGATGAACAAATCTCAGACTACATTCCTAGCAAAATTAAATAATTAGAATGGCCTGGTTGCAGACGTTTAACATTAATTCACTCATTGCTTACGTGTATTTCAGCCCTTTGATTTGTTTGCCGTCCATGAAGTCTTTCACTATTATTTCTGCCGAGGACAACATACAGCAAAATTATTGAAAATAGCATTAAGTCAAAATATGATTTCATACAAAAATGGGTGCAGTATAAATGGCGTCTTAGACTAATGTATATAATTATTTCAATATAGTCCATGCTTAATGATGGCTAACTATGGCTAACTGGGACTGGCAACTTCCTAAGAGATACCGTCATAAATCGAAGAATCATGTGACTATGCCAACTTATGATGGCAGTTCCAGTTGCCACTGTTAAGTGAATTGCACACAGTCATTAAGTGAAATGTCACGTGACCATGGCTTACAACTTCCCGAGGGCTTCCGCATTTACTTTGGTTGTGGGAAGCCAGAAGGGAAGATTGGAAATAGCAACCAGACAATAACAGAACAGAATATCAGAGTTGGAAGGGACCTTGGAGGTCTTCTAGTCCAACCTCCTCCTCAGGCAGGAAACCCTACACCAGGGGTAGGCAACCTTGGCTCTTTTATGACTCATGGACTTCAACTCCCAGAATTCCTGAGCCAGCCATGCTGAAGGGAAAGCGAGAGGTTTCCAAGCTGAGCCATGCTGGCTCAGGAATTCTGGGAGTTGAAGTCCACAAGTCACAAAAGAGCCAAGAGCCTACCCTGCCCTACACCATTTCAGACAAACCAAAAGACCGCACGACACTGTGACCAATCATAAATACAATCAAATGATTGCAGGGGCACTGTGAGGGCTACAAACTCAGGAACTGGCTGTTAAGTCCCCTAATTCACCGCTGTTGTAATTTCAAAATGGACGAGTAGTCATTAAATGAGAACTACCTGTACTCACTTGATTTACATACTAATAATTTGGGTATAGGTAAAATGGTTGTACACATGGGACGGTTTGCAGCCAATAGTTCCCACTTGTTAAATGTATGGCAACTGCCAAGAGCAGGTATGCAGAATTTCTATTGGTTAGACAGATACATGTTGTGCTTTGCATGACAAAGTTTGCATTTCAAAAGTAGGTGTGACCAGGGTCTCCTTTGGACAGGTGTCACTTTATTTACTTCTTCGCTCTGAAAACTGCCCTGACAATTTGACTCAAGGTTTCACGATGACCAGCCATGAATCAAATGATAATAAAAAAGTTGTCCAAATATCTTCTTAGCCCTTCCATCTAAACATCACATCCACTCCTCTTTAGAGTTCATCATCCATGGTATGTTTGTAAAGCTATAGTGGAGATCATACGATGCCTGCCAAAACGTCTCCTAGCAGATATAAAGAAAAACACCTTACTCACAGAGGGTGATCAGGTCCCCAATATACACCTGTTCCAGCACGTGCTGCCTGGCGTCCATTACTTGAACAACATCCATCCGTATAAACAGCTACATAATCTCCTAAAAAGGCAGATTTGCATTAAAACAGCAAAAGACAATGTCAAATTCCTAAACAATTTAAACAAATTGTTTCTGTTTCTGGAAACTGCATTTAAATACAGATAATAAAACTAATTCAGCGTATGATATACAATATTTAGCCTGTTTTAGCAAAACTCTTAACTCTTGTATTATCTAAGCATTCTATACAATGGAAACCAAAATTGAAAACTGTAGCTGATAAATTGCTAATACTAAAATAAATAATTCTGTGGGAACAGGCCTATTGGAATTATCAAGAATATTCTTTTATACGTGGAAGAAAGTATCTAAGGCTGGAGTCTCCTCACAACAGCAGGCAAGATCAAATACATCTCACTATCTTTATAAAAGAAAGAGAAAAAGGAAAAAGTTTCATCAAGAAAACACAGATCCACCCTCTATCCATAGAAAGAAAAGTATCTCCATACTTCCATTTCAAACAGTGGAAGATGGTAACTGCAGCTAGGACTAAACAACATGGTTTCAATCAAGCAGGAACTTATACCCAGCACATCACACACTATTGAAAACTTCCTGCTGAAGATATCACTAGCCAAAGCTTGCAATGCAAAAAGGAAGAGAAAATGGATCATGTAGCTAAATGGTTAGAGGAACATTATTAGCAATGGCTGCACTCTAGTGGAATGGACTATGATTTTGCTGTAACAAGAGCAAACTCAGGAAGGTGGATCGATTCCAGGATGATTATAGTAGACATTCTGTGCCCCAACAATGAACTTGAAACAATGGCAAAAACTCTTTATAGAATATGCCAATCTTTTTTTCTAGTTGCCTAGAAAAGGAAGGCACAACTGCCACAAATGAAACAATTGCCTTCAACCACAGATGAGGGATTAATTTAAATTCCTATAGAATTAAGAAGAAAGCAAATAGCCTGCTTCAAGATGACAAGGCTACTAGTTCTAGAATATATCAGACTGAAGCAATAAGAAATTTCTATTCTATTTTATAGGATAGAAACTGAAGAGCACTTTAGAAAGTGTCTTATATGGAGTAGTAACCAATGCCTCAGAAGCCACATGAAGATTTCAGGAGTGAAACCTATGAATGATAAAAGTAGGAAAGTCAGTGAAAGATCACTAATAATTCTTGGTAAGATCACATCTATAGTGAAAACATATTAGGCCATGGTCTGGCAAGCATGCTCAGAAACTAGGAGAGAAGAGGGAGGGATAAGACATAAAAAATAATGATATCTGCCTAAACCCTATAGCACAGCGGTTTTCAATCTTTTTAATGCCGCGACCCCCAACCGGTCGTAAGTCGAGGACTACTCAACTGGTGCAGCACTGTTTGAAGAATGGGACTTTTGGTGGGCTCAGCAGGACAGAGACAGCCTGGACAATTCCTATTGGCTTTTGAAAGCCAATAGAATTAGACTCTATTCAAGAGAGTCTATTCTATTGGCTTTCAAAAGCCAATAGAATAAAAGGGAGTAGCACAGCTAAGGAAAAGGGGAAAAAATGGTGGACTGCGTTGTTTGGCGACCCCCGTGAAATGGTCATTCGACCCCAAATGGGGTCCCGACCCACAGGTTGAGAACCACTGCAATAGCAGAACTCCATGTGTAAGAGGATCAAAATTCCATCTGTAATGGAAGAGAAATCAGAAGCTCTTCATTCCAGAGGACCATTCACTCTTATCCTCAAATCCCCAAAAACTGGGTTGAGATACCATGCAGAATGGCATCACACGGCAGACATCTAGCCATTCAGGCATTCCACAAATGTTAAGCTGAATCTGGGGCATTATAGAGGGAAATCCACTTAGGAAGATGGCCATAGCTCCTGCAAAAGTAGCTTGATTGCAGGACAAAAGCCCCAGGGCTGGTGATCCCAGCCTCTGGAATGCTTGCCTGATTCCAGAGGGGAAACTGTCTCCTTTTGATGCCTTAGAAACTGTATTCTGCAAGAAGGAAAATGGAAAGCAGGAATGTCTTAATCTGTAAAAGGCAGGCCTGGAGTGAAACGGGACATTTCGGTGCTGCCATCTTGCCAGAGCCACTTTGGCATGGACAAATCGCCCTGGGAAACTCACAGTGGGACAAATTGCCACGCTCTTCACAGCACCTCCCTTCACGAGGGAGGCAATCATTAACCACAGCGTCTCAATGGGCCACGTCTCTGAATCTGGCATCATACTGCTGTGACTGGCTGGTTGGGTCGGAGTGTGTCCACTACACACAGCTGTCTATCAGAGGGGGGAAGGGTGTGCTGAAAAGTGAGGCAAAAAAGCCTTCAAGAGAAGGGAGGCAACTCCCCTCCATGAACGGCAGGCTAAGCGGGAGTCACTGACAGTTGCTAGATGGCTGTCACTGTCCCTGCTTGCCCATCTTCCCGTCCTGGAACAGTCACTGTCCAATGCAGCACACTGAAGAGGAGGTCTGCAACATGAGACTGGAACAGATGCTGTCCTCTTCCAAGGGCCCGCGGGGAAAAAGGAACAGCTGAATGCAGCTCAGGCAGAATGCTTCCCCGGCAGGCAGGACATGCCTCACACCTGGGTAGTAACTGCAAATAGCCCGCAAAGCAGACACACTCCAACCTGACTGACCAGCCACACCCACAGGAGGCTGGACCTGGATCCAAAGACGTGGCCCGCTGCAATGACATAGCTGATCTCTGCCTCCTGCGAAGGGAGGTGCTGCAAGCTGTTGCACGGCAAGTTTCCCGTGGCGTTGTCCCACGCGGAGATGGCTCTGGCAAGAACGCAGAACCGAGATGTCATAGACCTGGCCTGGAAAATTAGCTCAGAGAGTTCCTCTCCTCTATGGTTTTTGTCATGCCTGCTAAAGTAGAAGAAATGCATAATTCAGCTTTGGATAACTTCCCTCCATTACTGGGAAACAATAGGTAAATTTATAACCGGATAAAATTCCTTCCCCTCAAAACCATTTTCAAAGCCTACTCCTGCCTCCCCTTTCCCTAAGCTTTTCCTTTTGCTCCAATTCTGTAGTGTGAATTGCCAGGTGGGAGGGGCTACATTCCAGAGGGTCAAGAATGTGATGGGTGAAAGAGGATCAACAAAGCTCTCCCCTAGAACTTCTGTCGATGGCAGGGGTCTTCAAACTTGGCCCTTTTATGACTTGTGGACTTCAGCTCCCAGAATTCCTCAGCCAGGCACGCTGGCTGAGGAATTCTGGGAGCTGAAGTCCACAAGTCATAAAAGGGCCAAGTTTGAAGACCCCTGGTCTATGGTGAGGAGCAATAAAGGAACTGCTTAGAAATAATTGACATCAATATTGCCAAACTAAAGCAACTACTTACATAATTAAAGCATACTCTGAGAAGTTCAACCAAACTATTTAAACTTCATTGCCTCTTGGCCCTCTGGAACGTAGTCTCTTCCTCCTGGGAATCCAGATTATATTCTATCACACATACCCAACAGTTAAGCAAATGTTGCCCCTTATCTGCTTGTTTGATCCATTGCTAGCTTTGTTTTTTTTCCTCTCCCCCATTTTCCCCAGTATTCATTTTAGATACTTATAGAACTTGCAATATTCAAACCCCAAATTCTTATTAACTCTTTACAGCTACTAAGCATAGAAGCAATATTCTAGTGCCAAATTTCTGTAAGAGTGAAGACATACAGTTGTTCATCAAGAGAAGAAATATCATACAAAACAGATTCAAAGGCATTATAATAAATTGCAGAAAGAGAGGAGTTACCCATGTATGAGAATTCATTCTTATTTGGCAGAGGAGTATAAGGAACATGTGTGTATTTTACACACTTATTTGTACATTTGTTCCCTGAAAGCACTTTGTATCGTCTTTTGTGTGGTCTTGCATTATATAACTCAGATGTAGTCTTGTTACTGTAATAGCTATGATAGTTCTGCTTTTTACCAAAGCCTTAGAAAAAAAGAAAATGATACCACTATCAAATTGATAGTGTAATGTTCATATTGAAGAACATCACTGGAGCTCCTCACATTTTAATCAGTTTAATTCACACATCCAAAGGTCTTTTCACATGAAATTTTCCTTATTTACAATTTTTTTTTAAAAAAAATCTTTTTAAATTACAGAATAACTTTAGGAAAAATAATTCACATACACGGCATTAAGAGATGATCTTTTCTCTTTATCAATTTATTCATCCAAAGGCGAAAGGTAACACAGATGGTATTTATATCTAATAGAAAAAATATGCAGGATTTTGTAACTAAGAGATTACCAGCAATGATTGATTACCAGCAATGATTTGAGCATTAACATCAAAAAGTAGCATTGCACATAGTACAAGCTGGTGGCGCAGCAGTTAGAGTGCAGTACTGCAGGCCACTTTAGCTGACTGTGTTCAGCAGGTCAGCGGTTCAAATCTCACCGGCTCAAGGTTGACTCAGCCTTCCATCCTTCTGGGGTAGGTAAAATGAGGACCCAGATTGTTGGGGGCAATGTAAATATATATATACATTGCTTACTGGTGTACACCGCTTAGAGAGTGCTTGCACTTAAAGCGGTATATAAGTCTCATAAATAAATAAATAAAATAAATAAAAGCAACTTCATCGCTAGAACCATACTTAATTTTGATGCTGAATTGATACCACCTGTATTGCAATTTTCTGGTAAAAAGAGAACAGATTTTATTTATTACCCAAGGGTGTTTGTTTGGGGGTATTTTACATTTTTCAGACCACTTTGGCTATTAGAAAGCATAGCATGACTGAACAACTCTTATTCTTTCAGCTGTAACTTTGTTATAAAGCTTTACCCATCAATTCTATTTTAAAAAGCAAGGTAATTGCTCATTAATGATCGCAATAATTTTGATTTAAAGTAACAACCAGAGGGGCTACATTCCAGAGGGCCAAGAGGCAGCGAGGTTTAGACAGTTTGATGGGAGAAAGAGGATCAAGAAAGCTCTTCCCTAGAACTTCTGTTTATGGCAGGGGTCTTCAAACTTGGTCCTTTTATGACTTGTGGACTTCAGCTCCCAGAATTCCTCAGCCAGGCACGCTGACATACAGTTTTTCATCGAGAAATATCATACAAAACAGATTCAAAGGCATTATAATAAGTTTCAGAAAGAGAGGAGTTACCCATGTATGAGAATTCATTCTTATTTGGCGGAGGAGTATAAGGAACATCTGTGTATTTTACACGCTTATTTGTATATTTGTTCTCTGAAAGCTCTTCGTATCGTCTTTTGTGTGATCTTGCATTATATGAGTCAGATGTAGTCTTGTTACTGTAATAGCCATAATTGTTCTGCTTTTCACCAAAGCCTTAGGGGAAAAAAATGATACCACTATCAAATTGATAATGTAATGTTTATATTGAAGATCATCACTGGAGCTCCTCACATTTTAATCAGTTTAATTCACACATCCAAAGGTCTTTTCACACGAAATTTTCCTTATTTAATATTTGTGCAAATCTCCTCAAATTTACAATTAAAAAAAATCTTTTTAAAATACAGAATAACTTTAGGAAAAATAATTCACATACACTGCATTAAGAGATGATCTTTTCTTTTTATCAATTTATTCATCCAAAGGTGAAAAGTAACACAGATGGTATTTATATCTAATAGAAAAAATATGCAGGATTTTGTACTAAAAGAGAGGATTTGATTACCAGCAATGATTTGAGCATTAACATCAAAAAGTAGCATTGCACATAGCAACTTTATCACTAGAACCATACTTAATTTTGATGATGAATTGATACCACCTGTATTGCAATTTTCTGGTAAAAAGAGAACAGATTTTATTTATTACCCAAGGGTGTTTTGGAGTATTTTACATCAGCTAAACAGAACATACTGTACAGATGGCTGGAAATGCCAATGATTGTGAAAGCTAAAAAGCACTGATGCCTTTAAGGATTATTTATATAAGGTTAAATGATTTTTGCTGCTCATACAGCCTGGACTCCCTTGGTTTTTGGAGGAGCTTTGAGAGATGAAATGGTGGTAGAGATGCTAAGAGTGCTATTGATGGAAGACAAAGAGTAAACTTGACCAAGGAAGAGAAAGCAGCTTTCTGAAGGATTACCTCATGGTAATCCACTCTCTGCATTAATAGATTACCAGCCAGTGTCTTACCAATTCAAACACTGCTGTGTAAGTAGGGACTAAGAATATCTGTAAAGCCACTCTAAGGATTATTCTATGCATCTGTCGGAAAAAGTAGTTTGGAATCACCCTGAGATGAATGGCAGCTGTGTAGATCCCAGGGAAGTGTCTAACACATTGTCTAGCCCAGGGTAGGCAACCTTGGCTCCTTTATGCCTCGTGGACTTCAACTCCCAGAATTCCTGAGCCAGCCAGAAATTCTGGGAGTTGAAGTCCACGAGTCATAAAAGAGCCACGGTTGCCTACCCCTGGTCTAGCCCTATTATCTGGGAAGAATTGGAACCTGTCAATCCTGAAAGAGTAGACATGTCCTTGGGGCTGTGTGAGCGCTTGTGTTTTTGGCCTATGCCTCCTGATTGGACCAACTTCCCCCACCAAAGATGACACATGGTTGAGTCCATACAACAGTGATCCATGCGAGGGACTGGTTCTACCAGCTTCGAAGGAGGTAGTGGTGTAGCCTTTCCTCAAGAAACTATTCCTCAATTTAGCAGAGTCCGGCACCCATTTGTTTTCATCCAATCTTCTTAGGGAGGCTGCAGATAGGTCAGTGCAAGATCTTTCTTGCTATGGTTATTTCTCAGCTTCTTTTATTTTGTTCAGATTTTGCATTTTACTAATAACAACCATAATATAAATGTCATTGGAAAAGCTGCAGATTTTAAAGTAATGGGATGTTAGCTCAATACTTGGCACATGGACTATCAAAGTTCAAAGGCAAAAATCTAGAAAAACCCACTCTTATTGCCACTGCCATACTTGTCTATTTCTATTCTAACTTCTCCAGCTACTGTGTTTTCTCATTAAGCAGAGGAAAATTATCACTGCGGCATTACATTTTTCAGACCACTTTGGCTATTAGAAAGCATAGCATGACTGAACAACTCTTATTCTTTCAGCTGTACCTTTGTTATAAAGCTTTACCCATCAATTCTATTTTAAAAAGCAAGGGAACTGTAAGACTCATTAATGATCGCAATAATTTTGATTTAAAGTAACAACCAGACTGCCTCTATCAAGAAATAAATACAGCTGAAATTATTTTCTGGAGGTACAACCAGTTCATTGGAGTTGTGAATTTCATTTGAATATACAGTTCATCCTACTTACTTTTCATTACATCTAGTATATTATCTTTAATTATCAGAAAGCTATTTCTATATTTCTGCTATTCAAATTTAGAAAGTTGCATAGTATACCTGTTGAAGAAATGGATGATTCTGCTGACTCTTCATTTATAAAAGCCCAAGCTTGTTTCTTTGTTGCAAACTTCTTGAAGCTGGCATCCTGATATCTATGAACTTGTTCGTTACATTCATCCCTGTCAAAATACAGTGGAAAAAAGAGCAGCACATTGTTTAGATTACAATATCACAAATTCCCTAAATAGAAAATGTTAGCTTCTTTTAAGGTTTTCTTTGAAAACCTGTGTGAAATGAAAACAGAATGGGAGAAATTTCTTCTGTAGATTTGCTTAATTTATTTACAATTCTAGTTACTTTGCATACCACAAAGCAACATGTCATTCAGTTGAACAAAGAAATATGATAGAGATAGGGGAAGCTCTAGAAGATAATTTCTTACTTTTAAAGCTGCATATCAGCCCAGATTTCTTCTCTCCTTCCACAAATGTGTTTTCACAAATAGTCAATATAAATCTATTTATGAGTGTTTTATTTTCTTAAATTTTTACACTGCCCATTTCACTAAGTGATTTGGGTCTTGCAACCTATCTACACATATGGTGTATTCATGAAGTCACCTTGGCTATTTCTCATCTGTAGGATGAGATTTTCAGAGTCCCAAAACATATTCCCTTGAAATTGAAGTCTCAGTAAACTTAGTTACTCTAATTTTCATGTAAATCTTTATATTCCCTTTTAGAAGCACAAAGTTGGAAACACCATCTTCTCTTGTTAATTGGTATAATGTCTTTGTATGGTTACTTAAAATTGAAGGATATGACTGACTCCAAACTATCTGGTGAACTTAATAGCTCAGTATTGAATATGGCACTAAATGACTTCACTGTTTTTAAGGTTTAGTGTTAACAGCAACTGATACCTATTTAACAGCCTATCATCTTCCTCAAGAAATCTATTGCCTTTATGCCTCACTGCTCGCTTACTGAGATGGGCAACCATAGAAATAACTGAGTGGACAAATTAAGCATGGATGTCTTAATAGGCTTGAGGATTTCAAGAAACTGGTGAATTAGTGAAATAGCTGTATTGCCTATAATAATTCTCTGCTACTGTTATTAGTAGTCCTGATAGGTACTTTCAATTGCAGAGTGTTTATTTTTTTAATTGTTCACTACCCAGAATTATGCTGAGTGAGATAGGCAACTGTATAAATATATAATAAGTTGCAACTGTAATTATTTGATTGACACAATGACATTTTGGGGAACAGAATCAAAGAGTATGAAATAATGCATTCAATTTAGCAGCTACTAAGATTGTTGGCCCAGCAGGGACAAAAATAGCCAAAGAAATAATTAAAGCCTGGGAAATAAGCCCTGATCAGTCAACAGGAATGCTGATTTACCACCAGCTTACCAGGTACTTAGGAACCAGTGACACAAGAAAACAACACTCAAGGACGACTTAATAGCCAGACATCAACATCCCCATCAACTATTAAAAGCCACACGCAATCAGGCACCATATAAATACTATGCATTTATAGAATAGCCCAGTGCACATATTCTGGAGAAAAGAGAAATTCCCTTAGGATGTGCTCCATTATGAGTCTGAAAGAAGAATAAACCTCTGGTCCCGGTGACTGACTTAGATGATTGGATCCTGCAACATTTATTCTGGGACATGTATATTTGCCTTCATTTGCAACTATAAAATAAATCTTATATATAGTTTAAGAAGCTTTTAAGGGAAGATCCAGAGTCAAGGCTATCTCCTCTCCTCTCTCAACTGGCTGAACTCTACTTCTCAGATTATCCTACGTACAAGTGTTGGAAGAAGAGTCTTCATCCTGGTTCATCCAAGCCGGGAATAAACATGGCAACTGCTTTGGGAAGAAGGTTGTAGTTTATTGGAGAGGAGAGCCAGACAGGAAGATGGCTCTGGCAGAAAAGACTAGAGAAAAGAAGGGCTGAGCTCATGGGTAGTAGGTTTTTATACTCTCTAGCCTTTTGTTTGGAATAGTTTCCTGTTCCTGTGGCATGAACTTTGAGGCTATTTCCTGTGTCACGTATTCTGACCTCAGTTTAGGTGTGCCTCTCTGGTATTCTTTATGGTAATGGGGCTAATGACACCTAGAGTTTGGGTAGGGTATGCAGATTTTAGGTGTCTTTGTCTTCTTTTTTTTATTAAAAGTTTTACAAATTATAATATAAACCCACCCATCCCCTCCCCCCCTCCCCCAAGCTGATTGCAGGGTAACAAATAAACAAACAGTCTAGCTAACATAAACCAACTAAACTATCAATCAAAACCATAATACACTTTAACTCCTTCTCAAAACAAATATTAACAAATTAAGACAAAAATAATAATACCATTAATACTATTAATAATTATCTAAAATCTATTCAAAAGCAAGATAATACTTTTCAGAAACTGAAAGTGTCTTTGTCTTCTTGATCTCCTAGGGGCCTTTCTGCTGGTTTACATCTGCATTTGTATAGGGCTGGCTTCTGCTTGGGAGAGGGAGACCTGGGCATGCTTTTATGTCTCTCTAAGATCCTTGAAGGAAATATATTTTTTCCTGCCCTTTTAATATTTCCTTCTCTGGTGCGGGGGGGGGGTGACTTCCCACACAAGGCTGTTCGAAAGGTAAAAGGAAGCGGGAAAGTAAAGGTGTCGCACCTAAGGGATTCTTGCTTTAAAGGGATGAGAGAGAGAGAGAGAAAACGAAACATTACGGGGCGTGAGAAAGATGCGCAGCTACTCACCAGGTGTTATACACTCCTATTCTCCTACCTCTCCGCACCGCGTAGAACATGCCGCCGCTGCCGAGGGCTTCAGAACTGGTGGGAAAGAATGGATGAACGAGCAGAGCTAGAATCCGGCGCCACATAATAACTAGCCCTGCCGCCTCCTCCTCCCGCTCCCTCCCATCTGCGCCGCCGCCGCCGCCGCCGCCCCGTCTCAATCTCGAGAGTCGACCGAACACAGAATCCACGCTTCCGGATGACGAGATAATCGAGAGCCGTCGAGGAAGTATGTCGCAGCTGTGGGACCGAGAACCGGAGACACAAACAATGGGGGAGCAACACTTCCGCTTTTCAAGCGTGACTGCGAGTCGAGCATCAACTAAGAGTTGATGTCGCGCCTCGCTACCTACAGCAGCCTTCCAGTGGAAACCGGAAACACTCTCCCGTCTCTATGACCTCGCCTAAGAAAGTTTTTCAAGACGAAAGTAGTTTGTGCACATGCGCCACCGCGGTTTCCCCCCCACCTTCCAATTTCTGCCTCGGAAAACCGAAAGCCTCAAGCGAGCTTTCCATGGCGCATGCGCGAATTTTTGGCGTTTGTTTTGAAGGCGGGAAAGCGACTCAGCTGTTCATGCTCGTAGATTGAATGATCACCATTTAATCCCTATTACATTCAGAGGGCCCACTTCTGAGCTGCAGTAGGAATGGTTGACCTCGACCTGATTTTTTTAAAAAAACGTTTAAATTGAAACTACAAGAATTAAGCGATTTCAATTTTAAGCAGGATTTATTTACAACGCTTATGCTGCATTATTCTGTTTAGTTCTTAAGTTTTCGAGTAGCATGACTGATCGAGTTGGTATCTTCTATAATTTGTGACAGAAATTTTGTAAGCCACTTGTTACAAATTGACGACTAAATTAAAACTCCCTACTATACTTCCCCCCCAAAAAAACCCAAGTAAAGATAATGAACCTCCTGTGAATTGTGAACCTAATTATAAGATAATTAGTTGTTCAATCTTTTACATGGGGAAGTTTTAAGAAATTCCTTTCTAAAGTAATTTAAGGAGAAATTCGTTTCTAAAATTAATACATAAAGAAATTTACTGGGACAGAGAAATGCAAGACAGTTAAAAATTACGTAGGACTCCAAATAAAGTGTTCTAAAATATTGGATAGTGCTATTTGATGATCTGGGTTGGCATAACTTTTTCTTTTACACAATCCCTATTGTTTCCTAGACAAGTTGATTTATTTGGTCTTTCCTGTCCTTGGTGCTTAGCAAATGGATGGAAAAGAATTACAAAACCTAGAAATCAATTTTTGAACTAAAATAGATTACTTGAATTCAAATTCACCACCTTTGAAAGCTGACAAGCAAACTAATGTTTCCATACAACAGGAACTTATAGCAATATTGGATTTGTTTGTTCAATTTATATACCTGCTCATATTGAAGCAAAACAAAGTTTAAAGCAATATAAATATCTTTAAAAAAGCATAGAACACATAATCAAAATAGGTTAAGATAGCATCCTAAAAATAGAACTATCAGAATAAAGCCGGGGTATTCAGAGCTTGGTTCTTACAGACATTTGTGTTTTGTCACTGGGAAGTAGGGTTTATTGGATATTTACATATAACAGTTTGTCCTATCAGATGTTACCAACTTGTAATAAAATGTTTGCAAAAAGAAAACCAAGTTTAGAGAACACTGAAAACCTAGCAATTTAATCCTATTAGTACCATCTTTACTGTTGCAAAATTTGATTTTCCTACTCATTCGTCTTATTCTCAGATAAACACATTTGAAAATACTTAGAAAAAAGCCACTTATAAAACTGCATTTTTAAATTTCAAAAATGGCTGGGTTTCTCTCCCCTTCCCCAGTGTTAAGAATACAATGCAAAAGGAAAAGGCTAAGGCTTGTTCTCACGTTCTATTTTAGCGTTCCAGTTCCAAACAAATACTCCCAATTTCCCTCTCCTTCACTTTCTCTTTGTGTCCGGCCTAATAAAGAACACAGATGAATAACTTAATAGTTTGCATGCTATCTCGTGTCTTTAAAGGGGCTAATAAAGGCATGGTTGCCATATAAAATATTTTAAAATGTATTTTGTGTATATTACAACCAGCTTAAAACGGATCCTTGTTCCCCTCCTTTTTTTTTTTTTTTTTTAAAGCGGCCACAGCCGGGACTTTTCCCCAGGAGGCTTGCCGAAGCCCCTCAGCGCGCAAGATTACCTTCTGCACGGAGTTTACTCCCGCTACCAAACTTCACGAAGGCGGGAATCTTCTGCGTTCCAGGCTTCCAATTGACCCTCTCGGAGAGTGAGAAGGCGGAGTCAAGCCTCCCCACACCGGGGATGAGCAGTGTTCTCGCGAGAACTCTTCCTTTTTCTAGGCCGGCGCTGAAAGTGGTGGGTATGAGCGACTGGGGCCTGGCGGGAGGTGATGGTGTGTTTTTTCCTCGGAGGGTCTAGCGATATGGTGTCGAATTGGGGGAAATCTGCTTTTCTAGGCCGAGCGTCTCGGGATGCATCCGATTTGCCCTTTCTTAGTTCTCGATGGCTGCTTGCACCAGGAAAGGAGCTTGATCTTCTTGGGTGGGGAGACGCTATGGAAAAAAATCCGGCAAGAAGGAAGGAAGAACTATAAAACACCCGATTTTGCATTTTAATGATACTGTGGGGTCAGTAGATCTCAAATTGGCCAAGGCTTCCGGGTTCGTGCGCTTGTTAACACTCGTGAGGTTGTGAATTCAGCCTTCGGTGGGATCCCAGCAGATTTACGCAGGAGGCAAGATTGTCTCTTCTGCGGCGTAGTTTTCTGCAAAATAGGCTGTTTTCACCCCACCTGTTCTTTCCCGGCCACGTTTTTTCAGTAGTAAATGGCTCTTCTTGCTCTCATGGATGGTACATGGTGGATGAACTTACAAGCTTCGGCATACGTGTTCTGGTGAGATGCTGGTGCAAATCAGCCAACTTTGCTAAAGGCCTTTGAATTTAACACGAGGTTAATTGCCATTTTCCCTATCTTGCATTTCCTATATACTGAGTAACAACCGGATCACTGTTTTGAAGTTGATTTTTTTTTCTATACGGCAAATTCTATTCCAATCGGTAGAAAGCTGCTGTAGTATTTGTGTGTTACTTAAGAGTCTGGCTATAGAGATTCTCGGTCATCCAAGTTATGGTTGTCCCAAAGTTGCTTTTTCTAAAGGCAACTGGACTTTGTTTTTTTTTTTCTTGAAGACGTTTCACTTCAGTTCACGTTCTGAACTGAGAGCTTCTGGGATGGGAAGAAAAACTTGTCCACTTGCCTTTTTAAAAAACATCTTTGAGATCATCTAGAGTCAAATCAAAATACTTCGTTCATTGACCAGGGTAGCATTATACAATCTGATTTTTAGAGGGTATTTGGAAAGGATGCAATTGACCATCTCATAGGCGTGGAATGTTTCATAGTAACTGCTCTGAGAAGATGCTATTAATCCAGGCATTGTGGTTTATATGGGTGTGTGTGGGGCTGTGTACTTTGAAATTTGTATTGGCCGTGTACAATACCCTTATGAGGTAGGCTACTCTTGTAAGCTTTTACTTGTATGAAAACTGCAGTTTAGAAATAATTGTTGAGCAGATGGTTTAACTTAGATTTTCTTTTACTAAATCCTGTATCCTTAAATACTTAACTGCTGTGTATAGTACTCCTACACATTCATTTATGTTGTAGATTACAGTCTGCAGGTTTAGTTAAACAATCACACAGAACTATCATGTGCTTTTCCTTAACTTTTGAGAGGGACATTTTTTATTCTGTACTATTTTTATTTTTGAATGCAGAAAGGCCATGTTCAGTTCGAGCGCAAAGATTGTGAAGCCCAACGGCGAAAAGCCAGATGAATTTGAATCTGGCATCTCCCAGGTATGTGCCCTTTTTGTTTGATAACAGTTGGAAAATTTAGGCTGAAAGAAATAAGAGCGGTGTTAAAATATGACTAATGAGGTGGTTAGTGTTATGGATTTGTAATACTTTGTGATAAATACTTGTAGCCTAAATGAACATGCTGTTGGAAAATTTAGTAAGGATTTTGTAGTTGAAATATTTTAAATAGAAATGGAAGTCGCCTTGTGTATTTTAGTGTATTTCAGAGGAACCTCTGCTGATTGCTTCTGGAATAAGTTCCAGACCTTTCAACTAAATGTGTAGCTCATCTAAGTATTTTAATCAAAATGCCATGGTTACATAATTATTTGTGAAAAGTAAAACATCCAAAGCAGAAAAAACAAGTGATTAATAATAATCTTCTCTTAAGGCTCTCTTGGAGTTGGAGATGAATTCTGACTTAAAGGCTCAGCTGAGAGAACTGAACATCACAGCAGCAAAGGTAATATGTAAACTTTGTTGGTTGGGATTATATGTTTTGTATGCATTGAATATTTTATCTGATATAATTCATGTAACATTTAGGCTTAATCCAAGAATCTCCTTTTGCCCTTTGGACCCCAAATATCCTAGAAGTTGAGCAGGATGCAGGAGATTTAGTATGTCCAGATATAATGTGCCTAGTGTTTGATTTTATAGTTTCCCCTTCCATACCGTATCATTGATTTACTTTTATCATTAAAACCTGGAAATTGCTGTAGTCTTGAATAAACTCCAATATAGGCATTCTGGGAAGTAATTTTCACATAAGTTAGCCTCAATAGAATATGGAATTTTGTTGATACAGAAATTCCTTTGTTCAAAATAAAACTTCTTAAGAGTCTTCTGTATGTTCCTAAAACTCCTTGGGTACAGTAACTGCAATCAAAATTGTAGAAGGTACTTATGTTTTGACTTGCAGTCAGTATATTTGATTACATGCCTACATTTTTTAAAAAAAATCTTGTGTGGAAATCAGATACGTTAGCTGAATCAGCCTATTTTCTTACTGTGTGTAATTTTTACATCAACAATTTGAAGATTTTGTACGTTTCAGGTGCAATTTAAATGCTTTAAAAAACCAAAACTAATTATTTTATACTAGATATTGATACAATTAGTAGATGTTTCTCTTCTAGGGAAGGGGGAAAAAATCTGCAAACTCCATGTGTTAGGAAGGGCATCAGTACGCCCAGCTCTACCCTGAATTACGGGATTACAGATTCATAAAAAGGGAGTTACTAGGTATTGATAAATGTAATTCCCTTGCTATAAAGCCAGGATGTAAAATGATTATTTTCATTATGTTGGATTTGATCAGTGATGCATTCACAATTTCTATCCAGATCTTTCCATAGGAATTTCTCAGAACTTAGTGCTCAAGAAGAGATGACTGCCAGATTAACTTTTGCCTGTTGAAATTCCAAAAATTAAGATACCTTTGGATCTTTGGTGCTTATGGAAATAAAAT